TTTCCCTCTTTTTCTAGAGCTGTCCTTATTTTCCACAACGTACAAGGCAATTTTTCCAAAGTTTTGGAAAAGGTATTTACACACTAAAGGAAAGTGGGCGGTAGTGAGGACAAAGCACAAGGACTCCTTAGGATCAGAGAAGGATGTAGCAAAGAATTTGCTGGTACGAGGAACTAATTTGGGGGTATGTAGGCAGATTGGAGTGTACAAATTGATGCAGTAATTATGAAGAGGGTATTGGGATGGTTAGGTAAGGCTGCAGGAGTGTGGCTGAGAAGCAGCTGTGCAGGCAAAGAATACACACAGATATACTTTGAAGTATAGTTGTAAGAATAGAGGTACAAAAATATCTCAGGTTTGGCCAAGTGAAGAATGAAGAAAATCATGAAAAAAGTGAGCTGGAGATGCAGTGAGGAGGAGGCAATGAAATGAAAATAAGCTGATAATTTTAATTTTAAAATTCCCCAACTCTACCAACAGTTCTAACACCAGGTCCTCTGAAGTGACTGCTAATGCATAGTACTAAAAACTGCCAAGGCAAAAAGGCAGTGGGGCTCAAACCTCAACCCTGTGATCCTCGTAAAACAGACTTGAAATAAAGAATAACTTAAAAGATTGCAGACTAGACTTTTCCTCTAACTTGACAGGAGATTCAAAGTGCAGAGCAGATGAAAAAATGGAAAGAGAGGCTTGAGAAAAAGTATTATTCTACAGAAATTCAAGATGACTACCAGCCTGTCACTCAACAAGAATTTAGAGAGTAAGTATTTGTTTTCACCAGGGTACGATGGGATTATCATGACATGGGGGTTGGGGACATGAGTTACACACTTTATTTTCCTGAACCCAAAACCTCTTCTGCTAAGATGTCACTTATTTTTCCAATTGCTTTTATCCAATTTTAAAGTTAAACAGAAAGCGCAAGCCTTCTCTTGTTTAAATGTAGGAGAGAGACCAACTGCTTTTTATCCTTGCTTCTCTAAAAAAGGAACTGCCATTTATACTTGATATGTGTAGCAGATACTGTTCATTCTCCACACAGCTTTAGATTAGATGCATAACTGACCATACCAGGCATATTTTAGTTCAAATAATCCCTTACCACTCAAAGCACTTTACAATAGGCACTAATAATCTGCTATCTCTTTTATGCACAAAAGTGTGTTACTGATTCATTCTCTACTTCCTTCTAAATTATCTCGTAGCCTCTTTTTATATGCCGTGGAGCTGGAGAAAGAATTACACTACATCAGTTTAAAACTAAACCGAGTGATGAGAAAGGTTTCAGCTCTATCCTACTGAGACAAGTGGAGGTGTGAATCTGTGATGCAATCATTGTACATTTCTAACAAAGATTCATTTCTGTATTGAATTATTTCCTAAACTTGTCCCCATTTCCGATATACTTTAAAAGCACTAAACCACCTATCATCAGACTATTGCCAGAGTCAATGATAATCATCAAATGATTTCTGGGACTTAAGTGCCCCTGGATGGGACCCACTGTACAACATGCCTCCAGAGTATATATGCACTGGTTCACACAGAGGACTTTATAATGTTATTATTAAACTACAGGCCCGGTGCACAAAAATTTGTGCACTCAAGGGGGCAGGGGGTCCCTCAGCCCGGCCTGTGCCCTCTTGCAGTCTGGGACCCCTTGGGGGATGACCACCTGCTAGCTTAGGCCTGCTCCCCTAAGATGGCAATCAGACATCCCTCTGGCAGCCTGGCAGCC